ACCATTTTTGAATTCATGAAATGAAGAATTCATGAATTCTGTCGCATAATAATAGTAGTAGACTGCTTGGCTGCTGCTGCTCAAGCCGGTGGCCCACTTGAATGTCCACCAAAATTACCTACGAACGTCACCGTGTGCTATGTGGTGGTACTTTGTCTGGCATTATTTGCTATACTTTTTTACTGTTACATTACATTGCCTTGTAGTGGCGCTCTGTTAGCGTATTCCTTTTATTGAGACATTCATTGCTCAAGCTTTCGCTTACGACAAATGAACATATGCTGACGCTACGGTTTGCTAAAGGAATTTCTTGGTGAAAGAACGTGTCACTAAAGACCCACTTCATGATTAATGGAAATGAAGTAACAAAATTCGTTTATTGATTAATTTACACTGCCTTTTCACATGCTATTCTCGTGTTCAATTTTATTTATTCAGCAAGGTAATTTTTACAATTGGCGGCCGCCATAACCGAGTACTAAGAGGTACACGCCACTCAAATAACGGTAGGCCCAGGAAACTAGCTGTTTAAACGGGGCAAGTGAGGAAGTGGTGTTATGTAGGGTGCCTTTACAAGCCGAGGCGATCATGTTACCCAACACAGCGGATTCATCTCTGGCTAAGTAGGAATTTAGACTGCTATTCCGGAGTGACTAAACTCCCGCAGCACAATTTTCAAGTGGCAGGCCAATTGCCTTGACCCTGGCTTCGAGGTTTGGTCTCAAAACTTAAAACATTTTTTTTTTTTTTTATGGCGCTTGATTGTAGTTGGCTTAACAAGTGAAAGTAGTGGAAATAAGCAACAAGAATTAATAAGGCGAACTTAGCACAGTGCGTAGGCAACTTGGCTGAGTCAGTGGGATCGTCGGTTCGAATCCTACTGAAAGAAGTCTGATGAGGAAATGTGGTAATTTCCGAAATAGCTATCACTTCTACCATTTTTTCAAATTATTGTTGCTTTTCCACAATAAGTTTTCATTAAAAAACGGCCTCGAGCTGAATAAAAATTGTTAAAACATTTTTTTTTTTATTGTCAATGTCAATTTGTTCTTCCCCGTAGTGCTCTAATGAAATGAATGCCATTGCAAACATATGGCACTAAAGTAAGTTCAATAAGAGTCGAAGAATAAGGCCAATAAGACTCACAGAACAGCATAAAATAAGGGTCCAAAATGAGCCATAACATCATCAAAGTTTAAAGATAGAGCCATAGAATTTTCAACGGGCAGAATAGCCAAGTTACGTAGCCTGTCTTGGCCCCACAGAGTTTCTCAAATCGGTTTTTATTAATTTTAGTTTCGAAAATAATCGTTCAGCGCTGGCTAGGAATTGGAACAAATACAGTACATACTTCAGGATAGCAGGACGACATAAAATAAAGTATAGGGGTATTCTCTGAGTCTTGCAAAGCCCTTGCAAGGTGCACGGATTGCACGGTTTGCAAAGCTGTCCCATACGAAAACCGGTTTTTTTCGTGCAATCCGTGCAATCTGTGCACCGTGCAAGGGCTTTGCAAGACTCAGAGAATACCCCTAATATGTATGTATGTATATGGACATTTGCAACGGTCGCGAACCGTACGTTCGCACGCTTTTGAAGTTTAAAAAACAAGGAAACCATACATTTTTTTTAATTTGCGTTTATGTTTCGATAGACTTTTGCTAGGTATATCTTTGGTGCAAATAGAAAAATACGAGAAACTCGGGAATGGAATAGAATATTCCAAGCGATTGTTTTATATTAAAGTGGAATAAAGTACCTTCCTCCTAACTAATTGCCCGTTGAAATATCTCTATTATTTTTTTATTCATGGTCGCGAACGTACTGGTCGCGAACTTACGATTTTTCCGTAATTTTTTATACTTTAAGAAATTTGGTCCCATGTTTGTAACTACCAAAAGAAGAAGATATATCCCCACATAAACGTTTGCCAAAATGATGAGAACGTCGAGCTGAGGNCAAATACAGTACATACTTCAGGATAGCAGGACGACATAAAATAAAGTATATGTATGTATGTATATGGACATTTGCAACGGTCGCGAACCGTACGTTCGCACACTTTTGAAGTTTAAAAAACAAGGAAACCATAATTTTTTTTTAATTTGCGTTTATGTTTCGATAGTACTGGTCGCGAACTTACGATTTTTCCGTAATTTTTTATACTTTAAGAAATTTGGTCCCATGTTTGCAACTACCAAAAGAAGAAGATATATCCCCACATATATCGAGCTGAGTCGATTTAGCGAAGTCCATCTGTCTTTCTGTTTGAACGCAATTAAGTCCCTCAGCTTTCGAGATATCATTTGTCCGAACCGTAAAATTCGGACCACTATAACTTATAGTTCCCATACAACTGATTGTTCATTTTAGTTCTCGGTCCTGGTTGACCATTAGAGTTTAATACTAAATTTACAAAAACAACATATGGACAAAATAATAGATGCACCATACAATTAAAGTTGAAAATCATGTTGAACCTATTCTACCGAGTGACAGTGTACGTACCTATATGTAAAACCGAAAATTACNGTTGACCATTAGAGTTTAATACTAAATTTACAAAAACAACATATGGACAATATAATAGATGCACCATACAATTAAAGTTGAAAATCATGTTGAACCTATTCTGCCGAGTGACAGTGTACGTACCTATATGTAAAACCGAAAATTACATACATAGGGCTGGTTTCTCCAACTCAACTTAACTTAGTTAAGCCAATTTTCTTGACTAAGTCAAGAATAAGCTGTGTAAAACGTAGGCTAACTTTTGACTTAAGTCCAAAAAGTGGCTAAACTAAGTTAAGTTGAGTTGGAGAAACCAGCCCATAATGCTTATCCTAATGAAGAGATCAACCAAAAAAAATTTAGCTTACCTATTGTCATCAAGTAATGCTTTCGCCAGTGACAATCGTAGTCGTACAACCTTCATGCTCTGCATCGGGAAGAGTTTACACATGGGTGTAAGAAATTTCGGTTGCCAACAAAAGTGTGGAAACTCTTTGCACACACTCCACAAACGTTCATTATGCTCAAATAAATACGAATGCTGTTTGCCGTAATCAAGATATTCCTGCATATCTGTATAATTGCAGTAGAGCAACTGTCGTAACATACGCAACGCTTCGATTCCTTCTGACGTATCGCGCACTTGATTAATTCCAAACGATAGTAACGGCTCGTAATGGTAATAGTTCCCTGGCATGGCATTTAATATGTCGCCCAAGAATGTAGAGCCCGAACGCCAAGTTGTTATGATGACGCTACGTACTGGCGTACCATTTGTCTCAGGTGTCATGTCGGATAACTTTTCTGCATCCACACCGAAACGTCCCTGTGGATACTCGAAGTTTTCCATTTCAGTAAGAATCTTCGTTCGTTGCGCCGCCAGGACATCCGCTATTGTAGCAGTCATATTATATGCCACGCTCGCAGTGCCCACATGATGCCGATCGACATAACCTGTTTGCACGCCTGATATGTCACCAACGCCAACGGCCATGCCGTTAGATATGGTCATAGAGGCAGGTCGATGTTGGGTTGTCGCTATCAGCAGCAATATGCAGAGACTGCTAACGCCACAAATACCTATAAGATTGGCACGGCGTGACATTTTTCGCCGCTTTGTTGTTAGGCTGAATCGTTGTTGAGCGCGTGTCCTGCTGGCGCTATCCACGGAAGCTCCGGTGAGTAACGAAACTGTAGTTGAATCCTTTGATTTGGACATTGACTTTCTAAAAACTACGCTCCACTCTAGAGCTAAGTAATTGATGTAAGTTAACGTAAGGTGCGGATAGCGATTGTTCT